TCTCTCTCTCTCTCTCTCTCTCTCTCTCTCTCTCTCTCTCTCTCTCTCTCTCTCTCACACACACACACACACACACACACACACACACACGTGGGATTCGCATTCTTTGTGTGGTGAGGAATTTGAAGGTATAGCCTTTGCAAGTTTTTTGTTTTCATATGAATGATGACAGTCAGCAGTGTACTCATGTTGACTGGAAGAACTATCTGTCTTCCAGAAGATAGTTCTTCGGCTGGTGCCTCTGTGTTCCAAAAGCATGTAGACTGCATGGCTCCTACATGTTGACTGGAAGAACTATCCGTCGACGGGGGCTGGAAGGGCAATGCTGATACAATTGCGGCAGGTGCCTGTGTGTTCCAAAGGCATGTAGGAGCCATGTAGCGTGCAACATCTGTCTTCGCCGTGCCACAGTCCTGTCCGGTCTATGGCAGGTGGCTGCTTACCATCATAGGCAAAGCCTGCTTCTCCAACTCCAATTACCCTTTCACCCAACAAGGACTAAATGGCCCCTAGTGCCATTCTATAGTCGGCCTGCTCTGCCAGTGAGTACGGAGAACCCCCTCTGAAGTCTGTCTTTCCTCTGTTTTTAACCCCTCCCCCTCCCCCTCCCCCTTCCCCTTCCTCCCTCCTCTTGTGCGGTACTGCTAAGGGCATATGAATGCGCATCATTAAGAGAAGTTAGAGAACATACAAAAGATGGTCTGAAGATCTGCTGAAAAGTGAGGAGAACAGAAGTATACCTCCCACTGTACTCTGCCGCCTTTCACAGCGTTCAAGTGGGCCGTTATGGCGCACACGGACCTGGGGAGCTTGCGATCGCAAGCCGCACGGTAGTAAAAAAGGACAGGAGCTGCAAGTAGAGGGGCCGGGGTACTGCTCGAAAAGCACAGAGCGGAGTTGAGTATGAAGTACTATGAACCCAGAAAAAGGGGACAAACCCAGATTAGGCAAAAAAAAAAAAGCCAATAAAATGGACTAAGAGGGGTAGATAGATAGGGAGGTAGTGGGAAATAAAATGAGAGAAGAATGTAGTATAGGCCCTATAGGGTAATTGAAAAAAAGAAAAAAAAGGGGAAAAAAATGGGTACCCCAAAGAAAGCAAAGTAAAGATAGCGAAGAAAAGAAAAGACATTTCAACTTCATAACTTACAAGTGAATATATTATTTTATAAGTTATAGCGGATCCGGTATGCTTCCATACCATAAATTAAAATAGAGAACGCAAATAAGATTCTGAGACGAGCGCCTAGCTCAGTTGGTACAGCCATGAACTGCTGAAACACAGACCCAAGTTCGAAACCAGATGTTACTCTTAAAGTTTACATGGGGCCGGTCTGAGATGAGCGCCCATTCACTTTACAAAAAGAAAAAGAAGTATAAGGAAAAGGAGAAGAGGAGAGAGAGAGAAGGGAAAAAAATAAATAAATCAAAATTCTGAGAAGAGCTATACAAGACAAAAATCTCACGCATGGTTCGAAAGGCGATCCATTTCAGCAATGAGATGGCTTAACAGTTGAATAGTCACTTTTTCAGTCCCAAAAAAGTCAATGCAGCCGCGGCAACAGCACAAGCACCTTTATTTTATTTATGTATGCGCTCATCCACGCCTGCCCCCCGGACATGGCGGCGGGGTTAGTGTGTTTCCGGGGGTTAGCGTGTTATTGGCCGCTTGACGGTCCGTGGTTAACTTCAAAGTTCATACTGATACGACACAATTGTATTGTATTAATTGAAATAATAAAACTCCAAACATTATTTCAACCGAGGCTTTCCTCCTTCGTGTCACATCACAGTGAATATTAATTGAAAATTTTGAAATAATACTCCTTTGATAGTTCTCAGACTGTTCTTAGCCAAAGCCAGGTAATGGCCCTGGTATTTCAAACGACTTGTATAATACTATACGGGGTGCTGGGCCCAGTTCCCAGCACGTCCTGCTCCCCACTAATAGACTGGAGCATTTGTTCCCCCCCCCACCACAAAAAAAAAAAAAAAAAAAAAAAAAAAAANAAAAAAAAAAAACAACAACTCCACTTTGAATAGTAATTGAAATAATAAAATCCACCTCGAATATTGATTGAAATAATAAAACTCTGAACATTATTTCAACCGGGACCTTCCTCCTTCGCGCCACTCGAAAATATTCAGACTGTATCATACAGCCTCAACTTTGGATCTCCTCATCCGGGTGGACAAGGGGCTATCGTGCTGACAGTTTACGGCACACACACACACACACACACACACACACACACACACACACACACACACACACCAGAGAGAGTGAGAGAGAGAGAGAGAGAGAGAGAGAGAGAGAGAGAGAGAGAGAGAGAGAGAGAGAGAGAGAGAGAGAGAGTTGAAGGAGGGAAACAGAGGACGACGTGACAGACAGACAGCTGCTAGAAGATGAACAATTCATGGCTGAAGATTTTCTTCATTTCCCTTTTTCTGTAGCAAATTACAAGTTAACGAACTCAGGCTGTCAAGTGTATATACTATATGGTATATACAATACATCCAGAGAAATCTGAGAAAGTGAGAAAATAAGTCCACAGAACCAGGAGGGAATGGATGATTAAAAAAAAAGAAAAAAGAAAAAAAAGAAAGAAAAAAAAAAAGAGACAAAAGATTTATTCCACTTTCTGAGTTTTCCTTTTTCTTCAATCGTTCTTAGCCGAAACTGGGTAATGGCCCCAGTAGCTTACTCTTGCATTCTGATAAGGGACGCTGGGCCCGGTTCCCAGCTGTGTTGCTCCCCACGAATAGACTGGCGCATCGTCTCAAAAAAAAAAAAAAGAAAAAAAAAAAAGAAAGATTTGTTCCACTAATATGTAACACAATAACATCCACATTAAATGAGTGGGGTCAGCTTGACACCGGCATCGGCCCCTTCCAACGAATGATCGTAAACTGGCCATGGCCAGTAGCCCGCCTGTGCTTGGCCCGCTACGACAACTACATGGATAAAGAACTGCAAAGACCGCATCATAGAATCAACAGGAAATTACACGCATACACAGACAAGTACTAGGTCTCCTTTTTCCCTCCCTGTCCTTCCATATTCCCTCCTTTTTCGCTCAACTTTCCCTCCTTTCCAAAAATCATCATGGCTCCATCCTCTTTAGGACAAGTTTGTTTTTTAACCTTTTTTTTTATGCGGGAAATGCAACTTACGTCACTGTATGAACGCTTGCCCAACCTTCACAAGGAGAGTCTTTTTATTTTTTATTTTTTATTTTTATTTTTACAAGGAGAGTCTTATACTCGCTGTCTGACTTGTCGCAGCCTTCAATAATCCCCGTAACTGGTCCCCTACCTCCAGAGTCGTTATCGCAATTCGCCAACACAATTTTACGGTTATTGCTTTTTTTTTTTTTTTTTTTTTTTTTAAAGCTGCTCCTTCTTCTCATTGGGGGACAGCCATATATTTTTCTCTCACCTCACATATTTTGTAACTGCCCTTCTGCCAAGCATGTGTCATGGAACATATCTTTCTTTCCCGACCTACCTACCACTACTCCTATTAAGGCTATACAGGGGACCCCTGCAAACACAATTTTATGGTTATCGCAGTTCGCCAACACAATTTTACGGTTATTGCAGTCCGCCGACGCAATTCCATGGAGGCTTAAGAAAGATGAAACAAGACCCAGTCCCTCCCGCCGGCATACCAATAAATTTGGCAATAAATGAAACGGTCACTGCAGACCAAGAACGAAAGGATGACGCCTTTACAGACCAATAAAGTGTCAGTTACTTGTTCCGCCGGGTTCCGCAGCGTTCCAACCACCACTCGGTGCAACCCCCAATCCAAACAGTTTGCGCAGTGGCTTGCCAGCTGGTTAAAACCCCTAAATGCCTGCCTGCAGAGTTTGACAGAAAAAAATGTGCACATCTAACAATCATCATCGTCATCACCCTTCTGACATTTCAGACCCCCATTTCAGACCCCTTTTCCTGGAAAAATCGCTACCCTTCCCACCATCGTAGTGGATGACTGAGGTCATACCCACAGTGGGACTTTCCTACATGTATCTAACTGAAATTACGGTTAGAGACGGATGAATCTAACCGAAATCGTGTCCGGAGCTTAGTCAAAAAATTCTTAGTGTGACTATGCCCTGACTATGTGGCCCTAACTGTGTACATGGCCCTGGGTATCTGGCCCTAACTGTGTACATGGCCCCGAGTACGTGGCCCTAACTGTGTACATGGCTACTATCCCTCGTTACGCACAAAATGAATATTCTGTTCTTTTTTTTTTTTTTTTTGCAGAATATTCTGTTCTATTGCTTCCATCAACAAACAAAGATTTATGACCGTTTACAACAAGCCCCGATATCCCAAGAGCAGCTTACACTTTGCCACCGCTCCCCCCCGCTTACATTATCACCCTTCCCCCCCCCCCCCCCCCCCCCCCCCCCCCCCCCCCCCCCCCCCCCCCCCCCCCCCCCCCTCTCTCCCTTTCTCAGGGGCTCACCTCTATTTCCACCACAATAATTTGCCCCTCGACCTTGGGCGCTGAAGAAGGTATGCTCTGCAAATTCTGCATCCTTCCACCAAAGAAATATTCTCACAATAAACAGTTGTCCCCACGAGGGGCCACGACCTTGGCCGCTGAAGGAGAGGTGTATTTGCATCCTTTGTCAGCTCAATCCCTCTTCCTTTCCATCTTTCCTTCATTGTCTTCTGCTTGGCAACAATCTCTTACTCTTTGATGTCCTTAACAATTCCCACCAATCCAACTTGTGAGCAACCCCCCCCTTGGGGGAGCAAACTACCTCCCCCCTTTTGGAGAGCAACCCCCCCCCTCCCCCCCGTTGGGGAGGATATTTTGAGAATCCGACCAGCCGGGATCATGACAATAAAGGCAGGCAGATTTTGTAAACTACACTGTGACGGAGCAAACAGGAAGATTTTCCGCTTCGGCACGAACGGCTTGAAAAAGCACGGAAGTTAGGTAGCGCTCCCCAAAGCTTGGCAAGATTGCAACAAAGAGCTTGCCTCTGTTCTCTTCCCTCTTCGCAAGCCTGAGCGCGGCAATGACCGCCGCTCCCGAGGACATGCCCACCATAAGGCCTTCTTTTTTAGCCAGCGTCTTCGCCATGACGATTGCTTCGTCGCTCGACACCTTCAGAATCTCGTCCACTATCGAAAGGTCCATAATCTTTGGGATGAAACCTGCCCCAATGCCCTGGATCTTGTGGGCCCCCGACTTTCCGCCCGACAAAACAGGGCTCTCCTCAGGCTCCACCGCATACAGTTTGACGTCGGGTTTCTTCTCCCGAAGATACCTTCCTGACCCAGTTAGGGTACCTCCTGTCCCAACTCCCGCGATGAGACCGTCAATCTTACCAGCTGTGTCGCGCCACAACTCCGGGCCCGTTGTCCTGTAATGCGCCATCCAGTTCGCCGGATTGTTGAATTGCTGCAACATGTACGCATTCGGCGTATTCCTCACGATCTCCTCCGCCTTCCTGATCGCACCCGTCATCCCCTTCGTTGGATCTGTAAGCACAAGCTCTGCGCCAAATGCAAGCAGCAGCGCTCGCCGTTCTAGGCTCATTGACGCGGGCATGGTTAGGATCAACTTGTAACCTTTGGCAGCCGCAACAAATGCAAGCGCGATGCCCGTATTTCCACTTGTCGGCTCCACCAGCACCGTCTTGCCGGGCTCAATCAGCCCCTTCTCTTCTGCGTCCTTCACCATACTGAACAGTGAACAGAGAAGAAAGAGAGAGAGAGACAAAATTTCACACACGACCGAGCCCACAATCCACAAACCCACAGTGCGACCACGCAGAACATCAATTTACGCATGCACAAAAAGCCACCAAAGATGAAGCGGCGGTGCTCAGGATCTAGCATATGTCCAGGAAAGTCAACAAGTTGAGCACCCCCCAAATATTGACTGAAGGAATATCACCACAGTGACAAAGACTATGTTTGGGACATCCATTCCGGTTGCTTGTTAAAAAAAAAAAAAAAAAAAAAAAGATCGAAACGATACATGGCCCAAAAAATACAAATAAGCATGGGTAGGCTCTGCAAGTTAACTGCAACCACACATCTATCATGACATGCACTCAAACCACACGAGTCGACTTGACTAGTTCTTCGTTTCAAGGACATGAATAACACCGTAGCGGCAAAAAAGTATATCACAGAAATCGACAAGACCCACCACTACCTTGCAGGCTGTGACGCTAAGTCGCTTTCGTAGCCTACTCCGAAAAAATCGCCGCTGGGCAGCCGTTGACAAGTTTCATCCGCAGCACCCAGCCTCCGAATTTGAACTCAGTGGCGCACAGCAGGTGATGCTCCCCACCAATAGATGAAGCCACCCCCCAGGTGCTTTTTAAAAAAAAAAAAAAAAAAAAAAAAAAAGAAGCCCCCCCATATACTAGAAAGGTATTGGTGGTCTAACCTAGGCCACCAGAAAGGCCCAGGTCCACTTACCCGGCCGGGCCAAAAAAAAAAATAAAAAAATATTATTATTATTATTATTTTCTAATTAAAAAAAAAATATTTAATTTTTATTTTGAATTTGGTAAAGAATTTCGATGTGACCTTGACGTCGCGTCTGGGCGTTGGGGGCTCGCATTAGGGTTGACGATAGCTGTTGACCTCAGTTGCTAAAACTTGACGTCGAGGAGGCTATGGCGTCGCAGGGAAGAGCACTGGGGCGCTAGTGGGGCACGCTGCTGGGACCTGGTCGGTCCCTGGTCACCACCGGTTTCAGCTGACAATGACTGTTTGTCAGCAATCCAGTTGGGTTGAGGAGGGCAGGGCGTTGATGTGTGGGTAACCGACTGGCGAAATCTAGGCGCGGCCACATACCTGATGAGACTGATCGGGGGCATTGCCCCTCGGTCCTTGATACGGAGGTGCTGTGGGATTATCCCGCTCTTGATTATCGGGGGCAGCCTGCACCAAACTTGGGAGGAGCAGATGGGATTCTATAGGGATGATGCGCTAGAGATGGAGGTGGACAAAGCATCGATAAAACGTCGATTTCTGGGAGAGACAACGAATTCTTGCCATGATCAGTATCGCCCACCGTCGATGACAACGGGCTTCAAGCTGCAAATGGGATTCTTTGCTGTTGCTACAGCTCCTACTTCGGGTGTGATGTCAATTTCGTTTTCCGGATCTTCGCTGATTCTGACCGATTATTCATTGTGCCCTCTCATTTTGTTTCATCCAGATATATATATCGTCAAATAGAACTGCCCGGTAACCCATAGGCAGAGAGGGAGAAGAGGACAACAAACGAGGGGCTGTGACAAACTGTTTCGTCGATATATATATATATATATATATCGTCACAAATATATATATATATATCTATTTGACGATATATATATCGTCAAATAGAACTGCCCGGTAAACCGTAGGCAGAGAGGGAGAAGAGGACAACAAACGA